CATCAAGTACGACGCACCTAGAAGAGCAAGTTTTACAAGGTTACAAGGTTTTTCCGCTCCCAATCACAATGTGACCGCATTTAGAATGCATAAGCGCACCAAGATTCCAGCATACGACGACGATGAGTTGGCCCGGACAAGTCTGCGCGCTTCAGCGCAGCGACGGTTGATCGTTGACTTTTGTCTAGGCCAACGCGCCGTCATCGCAATACGTTAATCACGCCTTGCATTCAATACAAAACATTTTACCAGCTCACCATGCAAGGGACCTGTCTTTCTCTATGCAGAATTGACACCCTGCTTCTAACCGCCTCAAACAGACGGGATTGATGTATCGCCATGAAGGTAAAAAAGAACGACAAGTTTCCCTAAAAGCAAGGCAGGGAACCAAATGATAAACAATGATCTCGTGATTTATTTTGTACTCCGTAGCGTGAATGCTCCAGGGGCAATTACAACAGAATGCAGTTGAAGCCTCAAGAGTTATTCTAGCTTGCTTGAAGCCCAGCGCCACGAGAAAATGCCGCTTGGGGGCAACAACTGTGTGGGTGTCCGCCCAGTGGTGATCAAGGCGGGTTAGTTTGACTTATAAACTAGTAGTTTATATTCGTAGATGGCTCGAGTTCGCTTGTTGTGCGCCTATATAACGTATGTGTACTTTCATACCCTGGCTATGCGTAGAAAACCTCTCTTGCACCTTGTTCTTGGTGTCCACCGTGCCAGTGGTGGGCAAGGCGCTCCCCATAGATAACGCCACAGGTTGGGACCATCTGAGTTGTGAGGTCGGTGAGAGATTTTTTGTTGATGCTGATGTGTTTTGTGAGTGCGTACGGTGACTTCTTGCCAATTTTCGGGAGGCCATAGCGCTGCCGTTTCGGAGTTGGTACGTCGAGTCGTTGCTTGAGACTTTTGGGCACGGCGTAGTCAGATTCTTGATCCCCGCGAGTTGCTTCGCATTGTTGCGTCTCAGTTGTCGAAACGTCGCACAGCGTGGTAGTGATGAATATATGAGCGAGATGATGTTGTTGTTATGCGCATGATAAGCGAGGTTCCGCATTGTCGAAATCACAGCCACGGTGTGGGTGATAGCTCAATCCGTGGATACACGTCCCGACATGTACGGTCGGTCTTGGGGCCTTGGATCGTTTGCAATGCATTAGAAGGGATGCGGGCTCCTTTTCCCTAATGTCTTCTTGGTGCTTGAGCGTTTGAATCTTGTCGTCCAGAAACTCGAGAGCTTGGGAGTTGATGGTCGAGGCTTGCTCGCATCTCTGCGAAGGAGATTGACCGCTCGCTACTGCTGGTTGGCGACGCGCATGCATCCAGCAGAACGAGATTCGACTGAAGAAGCTCTACATGGAGAACATTGAGCTCACGACGCGCTTGAAGATCGGGAAGGGAGCCATCTTGGTCGAGCACCAAGGAAGGGCGACGATCAGGCACAAGATTGAGCAGCTACTAAAGTTGAACGCGAGTGAGGCTGAGATTGCAACACTCGTCGAGCAGTACAAGGCACAGTACAGTGACTATGGCTACAAGCGCGAGGAGACCATCGCGTTTCATTCACAGCGCGTGCGCGACCCCTTTTTGCCGACGCAGGACATCGAGATGTGGCCGCGGGATCTTGACAAGCTCCGTAGGACAACAGCGCCGCTTGGTTGTGGTGATAGGCCGCTGGGTGAGCTCCCTTGCGAAGGTGTGCAGGGCCGCGTCCAGCTTGGGGAAGCTATCCATTCGTGCCAAGCGTGTGTGTTTGCTGACC